GGGGTTTACATTCACTTCATTTAATATCAACATTGTAACAATGGTCATAGAAGATGCAAAGACAAAATTACTCACCTTAAAATCTGTGTTCTCAAAAGGTATAGCCTCCATTTGGATCACTCAACGTTTAGGCTTCCTGGACAACTCAGGATTTTGGAGCTATTGAACTTAATACATCCAAGAAATAGCCAGACTCCCTAAAGTCTCACAAGTTTGCTAATCAAGGCCCCTAACAAAGTTAAAAGATGCTCCAGGGTTCACTAGTGAACCAAGACCCTAATGAGTAAATTAAGATGGTGTTGCTCAAATGACTAATTCATGAAGAGTTGCAGGTAGCTAATTTCTAGTGCTCTAAAGAATGACACCCAGATGACAGCTCAAAGAGGAATTCTGGAACAGCTAGGTCTCAGTTCCATGACTTAGCTGGAGTCAGAATTGGAGCAGTGGCTGCAGCATAGGGCTGGATTTCTCATCTTTGAAAGAAAAGCAAAGAGTAGGAAAGAATGTTGAAAGAGAAGCCTGTGCAGTTGCTGTCCAGATCTTAACATGGGTGACAATCATGTCAGCTGTCCTAGATATTACCAGACAAACCCTGGAAGTGTCTGACCTACAACACAGTATAGGTGTAATCAGTCTCAAAATCCAGTCCCTGGATCGGAACTAATTTTGCTGAGACTTGTGGTAAGACAGTCTCTGCTGCCTACTTTTCTCACTTATAGGTTTGACAAAGACTTTAAGTCATAACAAGAGAGACCAGGGATGGCCCTCAATAGCTATGTATTCTAGCTGGGAGACTTAAAACTGTAAATGGTTGAGTTCTACCCCCAGATTCTAATTTTATTTAATTGGGGGACTGAGCATTATATCTTTTAACTCTTCAGATTATGTAATAAAAGGCACACAGAGTTAAGAAACACTGATCTTTTATAAAGGCGGGAATTGGGTAAAACACCTGGGGTGTTTTCATTAGACTAGGGTTAGGAGTTAGCATCTTTACACCCTGGGGGATTTCACATCTCTTCACTTGTTAAATGAGCCAACAATGCTCAAAGCCCCTCGGTGGTCAAAAAGATACTCTGATTCCCTCTATCATTCGATGTGGTTAAACTACCTCAATACGGACAAAGTGATACTTTCCAAGGGTGGAGGCATCCAACCCATCTTCCAGTCCTCACTGGATTTGAGCCAGTGAAGGAGCATCCCTGAAGCAGTAGCTAGGGTATGTCCTCACCACATAGCAAGGAGAATTCTGGAGGCAGGGGTGTGAGGAGTCACGTGAAGTGGTGGGAAGAAGCAGTGTTATCACATTGGGCATGAGGTTGTCAGAGAATCTCTGAAAGGGTTATCTCCAGAAACTCACTTCTTGTATGTAAGGAGATTAACACCTTGAAAGCACATCTATCCCTGATGGCCACTTACACACTGAGACCTTCCTTTGGTTTTGTTTTTTGAGACAGAGTGGAGTACAGTGATGCAACCATGGCTTACCACAACCTCCAACTCCTGGGCTCAGGCAATCCTCCTACCTCAGCCTCCCAAATAGCTGGGACTACAGGCTGTGGGCCACCATACTCAGCTAATTTTTAAATTACTTTTTGTAGAGACAAAGTCTCACTATGTTGACCTTTTATAAAGGTAAGAGTTGGTCTGGAACTCTTGGACTCAAGCAATCCTCCGCTTCAGCCTCTCAAAGTAATGGGATAATAGCCAAGAACGTCCTTTTATAGCTCTGCCTGGAGGGCCTTAGTTAGAGACTACTTCTTCCATGTAGAGAATCAGAAGGCCTGGAATCTATCTCCTGCCCCTAATAACTAGTTGTATATACCTGATGATAGGAGACTTCATTCATCTCAAAGCCAAAGCACATTCTGTCAGCTTTTCCTAAAACACAGTAGAGAGCCCCCACCTCCCATGCCAGGAAAACTTTGATGGATATTTGCCAGGTGTCATCTCACAGCAGAAGACTTTCAAGTGGTCAAACCTTGATCTATACCACTGCTTTAAAAAAAAGTTAATTAGTATTTGATTTTACAATGCATGTTGACGTTTACCTTTGACTGTGTCATATCTTATGTTAAAAGAACTTAAAAATCTAGTTTCTCGATTCTGTCTCCTGCTATGCTTTTTCTTGTTATGCCTAAAATAAGTAGAGCTGGATTTGATGTTGAGATCTTCATCCAGTGGCCACAAATTATAAAGAAACAGAAATGACTTGACCAAGTTCACACAGCTGTTTAATGACAGGGAAAAGCACTACAGATGGGCAGCCCTGCCTACCTCATCTGAATGCCCTCATTCTGTAGAGGTTAAGGTCAAGTACTCAGTATAACAGGTTGTCAGGAGGTTAACACAGTGAGAAAACAAACTTTCATGATGCTTATCTGGCTACACGTAGCTTATCTCAAGATTAAAGGGCAAAATGGAATTGGAAAACAGTATAACCCTATCTTCTGGCTACAGCTAGACACCTGTCTTAGAAACTATGCCAGGGTATGTCATTTCTAACAGTGCTGATGATCACAGATGAGCCCATAAGGCAGGACTGGGTATTCAGTTCTTGAGAATTTTTTTGTGCCTGACAATCTTAGGAATAAATGATGCTTTCAATGGTCTGTCTTCTTCCTTCTACCTAATACATACAAAGAAACAAAATATACTTAATTAGACCGTGAGGTGTCTCAGGTAGGTGGTTGGCAATGGAGTCATGATCTGCCAGGGAAAATGCCACCATTTCTAGTCTTGGTCAAAAATCACCATCTCTTACATTTATGTTAGGTGCCAGAATACACTTAATGAAAGGACAGCTGAGACTAAGGAAACCTGACATTTAATCCTAATGCTCATTAAGTAACCTTTCCTAAATAGCAAATGTTCCTTAACTATGAAATGGAAGTGTAATCTGAACTTTTCTCAGCAGCCCAGATAAAATACTATGAAGGTATTCAGTAATGCTATATGGTGCCTAGCAGAAGGTGCTGTGTACAAGAAGACTGGGTCCTGAATTTAAGGAAATTTCTGAGTTCCAGAAAGTTTAGATTTTCTGTATGATGTCAAGATGTGTTTTGGAGAAAACTTTTCCCCAGTATTATATTAAGAGTATATATTAAGGAGAATTATATAGAAAGGTGTTTAGCTGACAAATTTGGGGGAAACACTAAATTAAGCAAAGTTTAACACTGGTTTTTAACTTCAAAATTTCTCAAACTTAGACTGTAACATATTCCATGAGTCTCCAAGATGAAAGGACATGTGAGCTTGTTTTCCCAAAACTCATATGACCACTTCACCTGTTTTACAAGGACCAGCTCAGTGGAGCAGTGTTCTACAGGACACAGTTCAGGGAAAAGTCATTCTATTTTCCCAAGTTCCTATCATTTGCTTCAATCCAAAATCATAAGACACTTTTGCTAGAAATTTTTTTTCATATAAACAAACGTGCACTGACACATGTTGGTAAGCATTTTATAGGTTGTCTATTCTAGCTGTAAAATAACGTGACTCCAAATCTCTGAAGACCAGATCACTAACATATCCTCTTTCCAGAAGGCCATGAATACCTCAGCAGGTCAGAGAATGAGCTTCAACGTTTGTAATTGTCAAATACTCTCTTGTCTTGGGTACAAATATCTGTTGCAACAGGTGGAAGCTCTTCCCTTGCTGGTCCAGTGGCATTCCATCCTCAGGACCAGTTAGAATGCAAAGACAACTTCTTCCATGCATCATTTTGTTGTTTATCTAATACTGAATCCCAAGTAAAATTCTATACTTGATTAACAGAAAAAACCTTTTAAACTAGGAAAGAGACAGCAGCCGAGATGGAATTGGTAAGAGAAAATCATGGAAACATTCTTAGACAGAACGCTGAGATAAGTGGCTGCAGAACTGAAGTCTACTACTGGTTATGTACCGATGTGAATGTTATTAAAAAATCTGTTAGAAACTGATTCTTGATCCTCTTACAATGGTAGAAAGGAGTGCAAGGTTTGGTAAATATCTTGCATGGATTAAGACTGGTCACAGACTTCTGAGCAGTCAGTGCAATGTCTACAGATTATTTCTAAGAGTTTACTTTATAATTCTTTACTGGCTGATAAAACTCTCCCACTGGAAAGCTGTGAGCATACATCATGGCTTCTATGATCTCAGAGCTGCTCCTCTAACTAGCCAAACAAGAAATTAAAACACCCCTCTTGAACTCTACCTGCACCACACCAGAGACAATCACCGAGAGTTTTTTCTTGGGAGGGAACAGACACTTTCTGTGCAAGTCTGTGGGAGCTGGTAATACAAAGCTGAGAGGGAAAGCTCTTGCCTAATGTACAGCTGACATGAGTAACATGGCATCTCGAAGGAACACGGTGCGAAAACAGTTAAGACCACTCATAAACACTTGAGATCATTCATAGTTTCTTCCTCCCATGGCTGTGATAGCATGAAATCCTAAAGTACTTCAACAAATTCCTGGTGCTTTTCTTTTAAAATGGGTTTACATTTTGCAACTTCAGTATATTGCAAAATGTAGCTGGAACAGTCCACCTAATATCTTTACCCAATAAGTCCGTCTTTTCCTCAACCTTTGGAGATATAAGATTACTTACAGGAAAACTCAGATGCCCCAAAAGGTATATACACACAGTAAGTCACACCAGTGAATAATCATGTTTCCAACAGTTCTTAGAAACTGGCAAGGAGACAGAAGCCCATGGCTACTCCCCAAGTCACCCCCCTGCACACATCTTCACAGAGACATCAATAGTAACAGTGAGCTTATACATAAAGACTAAGTGAGACAAAGGCAAACGCAGTCTCAATCTGTCTGAATGCAGGCCATGAGGCGTGGACTATTTACCCGTACAAACTCTTCAGTCCCTTTTGGTTATCCCCAGAGCTCAACTTTTAAGCCGTAGGTTTTTGCTGTGGAGAACTCAGATGAGATGCAGCTGCTCCAGCAACTCTTTTCACAGTACTGCTTGTCAATAATGGGAATGGTTTCTAATCAATTTAAACTGCACACAGTACTTTAATAGAACAAGAAGTTTATTATTCCCACTCAGTAGTTCCTGGGGGCTTTGATGTTAAGTCATACATAATTCGAGAAATACCAGGAATCTTCTTAATCTCAGTGACCATCTTTAACACCACCTGTTATAAAAACAAAGATGATAAATAGAAGAGCCAGGATCCACTGCATGCCCAACAGGTCTAACGGCTCATATTTACAACTTAAAATTAAAATGTAATCTATTTTCATCATTGTCCTCCATGTATATGGGATGGTCTGGGATTCATCTTACATGGTGAACCTATTTCCCTCTATAACACATATTCATGACTTAATCTCAGTAGTACTCAAAGTGTAATTCACAAACAGGTGCTAGTTTGCAAGTTTGTCTTTGGCCCACAACAAGTACTTAAGAACACTTATAGCAATTTGATAATTTCCGTGGCATCCAAGCATGTGATTTTGTGTGTTTAAGCCCATACTTGTAAATCACCTGTAGCTTAAACATACAACTCTGAGGCCATCAAGGCCTCTGTGGCACAGAGCACTATGATAATCATTATCAAGTATACAGGAGGAAAAGATGGCCTGGTCATTTGATTGGTCAGAGATTTGGCAAGTTTGGGCCAGAGGGAAAACAGACTATAAAAGCCTCATTCCCCAACCCAGCTACCTAGCACTATTCAGAGTCCAGTGCTAGTGTACTGGAGCAGTGACCCAACTAATAAAGTCTCACTTGGATTTTCATTTGCTATTATATAAATAGTTCCTTTGGAACACTCTGATGGAGGGAGAGAAAGACAGAAAGAAGGTGACCAAAAATAGAGGTGGAACTGGTAGTAGGCAGAACACTAGGCAATTCTGGGATACCTGGCTGTAAGGCCATCGAGTCTCATCCTTATTTCTAACAAACTCTTCTTTATTACTAGAGTTTTCTTTATTTGGGGAATACTATTTGCAAAATAGAGGTTGGCAGAATTAGAAAAAACTATAGATTACAATTGGATACCTTTTACATTTTAAGGAGACATTGGAAGAAGATATTAAATTTAAGGACTTTTTCTGCTACAGTGTATTAAATAGTCAAATATGTGAAAATAAATAAGAGCCTACCTTATGAGCAGAAAACCAACTCCAGAAATATCAACTTTGTCATAGCTATTCCATTCATATTAAAATGTAAGAGGTGTTGAAAGAATATATTAGAAAAATATATATAAAGCCAGGCGCGGTGGCTCATGCCTATAATCCCAGCACTTTGGGAGGCAGAAGCAAAAGGATTGCTTGAGCCCACAAGTTCAAGACCAGCCTGGGCAACACAGGGAGACCTCATCTCTGCAATAAATAAATATAAAAAAAAGTTAGGGCAGCATGGTGGCACATGCCTATAGTTCCAGCTACTTGGAAGGCTGAAGTGGAAGGATTGTCTGAACCCAGCAGGTTGAGGCTGTAGTGGCTGTGAGCATGCCAGTGCACTCTAGCCTGGGCGAAAGAGTGAGACTCTGACTCAAAAAAAAAAAAAAAAAAAAAAAAAAAAAAAATATATATATATATATATATATATATAAATGTATATAAGTTACCTCTACAGGAATCTCATTGCCAGGAGTTGCAGGTATGCCAGTCATAAAGTCACTGGTAATAAATGTTCGAATAACCACAGATCTCTGGCATGAAGGCTGCTTCTGAAGTGGGTCCCGATCAAAATGTAAAGGGGTCAAAATCACTGGCATCTGGCTGATTTTCCCAGCATACCCTAAGAGAAAGGAGCATGTAGAACCAATCACCATACTATAGAAAACCACTCTAACCCAGTTCATTTCACTCCTCCCAGACAATATTTAAAGTCTTGTAGACATACACACCATACTGAGTTCAGCTATTCCCACAGTACTATAATGCACTCACACACAAACAAAAGAATTTGATCATTGCAGTGAGGTTTCACTAATGTGTTATAGAAAAACAGTCAGTTCTCATTCCTCTCGATAGTTCTAGTCTATGCTGCAAACATTGAATTAGCGAATATTAAATCATTTCTCCTAGGGGAAATATAGGGTTAGGTTCCTGCAAGCCTCTAGTTGCAGTATTTTCATTAACTGATTCATACACAACCGTGTTTTACATGTGTTTCCACTTAAAGACATTTTATTTAACATTTACTGGATATTTGTTAACAATGAACTCACAACCAGTAGCGCTGTAACGCATGCCTGAACACAGTATATCTAACACACGCATTTTGTCTGTAAGGCACACCACTGCTTTCTCATCCTTAGAACACTAGACAGAACTTCAGCATTACGTTAGGGACCATTTTAAACACAAAATCACCCCCAAAAAAGCATAAAAATGCAAAATATATGGCACCAATGAGCCCATGAAAAGGATACTTGTTTTCACTATAAAAGCAGAAACAAGAAGCAAACAGAGTCACCTGGTTCAACCTCAGCAGTAGGCATATGAGTCTGGCAACTCAAGTTTTTTGCAGCTCTGTGCATGTCCACAAGTGGTCACAAACGTGAATAAATGCTATTCCGAAGGTATTATAAAACCATCCAAAGAATTAATTTTTTTAAAAAAAGGATCTAAAAAGCAAATGCCACATCCTCTCGTTCTTAGTGTCAAGTTTCCAAAGCTAGTTACATCACGCAGTGATAACATGAGCAACTTACCAGACTCCCTCAGAATATTATGGGCCTCAAAATCAGCTTGGCGTAAAGTACTGAGCACCCCTGTTGTCAAGAAAGTGGGCGTAACATCTGTAGGTGGTTCTTTAACTGGTGGACCAAATATATAAACAACTCTAGATGGGGTAAAAATTATAAAGAAATTACATTTTAGTATGAGAAGGCATGCAGAATAATAACATTATTTCCATTTGTTTTTAGGCCCACTCCTACCAACCTCAACTCTCCAAATGGGTGGTAGTAGAGGATATAAGATCATAGGAAGGTCTATGTTCTATGTAATTTCCTCAAAGTGTGTTCTCTGTAATAGCAGTATCTTAGAATGTGCAAAGAAGTGATTCTTAAAGCCCACTTTTCACCTGGTGTGCTGGGTTAAAGAGAATCCCCAAAACTTCATATCCATCTGCAATCTATAGATGGAGAAGGGTCTTTGCAGATGACCCTTTGCAAGTCAACAGGAAGTCATACTGGCTCAGGGTGGGCTCTAATCCAATGACTTGTATCCTAAGAACAGGGAAATTTGGAAACATAGACACACACATAGAGAAACCAGGGCCGTGTGAACACGGAGACAGACTGCAGTTATGCTGCCACAAGCCAAGAACCACCCCTAGAGCCTTCAGAGGCAACATGGCCTTGCCAACCACACCTTGATTTCAGACTTCCGCCTCCTGAAATGTGAGAGAAAAAGTTTTTGCTGTTTTAAACTCCCAAATTTGAGTTAATTTCTTATGGATAACCCTAGGAAACTAAAATACATAGTTAAGTAAAAGAAATGTGTCTTTATGACAAGACTTCAGAAACTGTAATATGCCAACATGCACTAGACATCTCTAGGATGAATCTACAGTGAATTTCCCAAATTAGTTGACCACTCGATCTTTCTTCCTCCATTATGAGAAACTGACCTACAGAGAGATTCTCATTCACACTTCATTAAAAAGGCCACTGATATTCGACCTGGTATCCTACTAGTTCCTTCCAAGAACAACGTTTTCCAGTAAACATTTACTGGAAAGATACAAAGACACACTGCAAGTGTTAGCAAGAGTAGGGTTTGGAACATAACTTGAGGGAACTAGAATCAGACAATTACAACAACTCGAGGTGGATCTTGCTACTGGTTTGATGAAGAGATGTTTCACAATCTCCACCCAGAAAACACGGGGAATCAGAGTAGAGACATGAGTGCCACCTCGCTAGTGCTCCCTTCTCAAGTCCAGTCAGTAAACAACTGTCCCTTTTCCTTAGTCCTCTCTCTCTATTTTATTTTTTTGAGTTGGAGTCTCACTCTGTCGCCCAGACTGGAGTGCAGCGGCCACTCCTAGCCACTGCAGCCTCGACCTGCTGGGCTCCGGTGATCCTTCCGCCTCAGCCTTCCAAGCA